GCTCATGTTCATCTTGGAGTCAATAATGACTCCAAGATCCCTTTCCGCCTCTGTGCTTCCAAGAGGGGAACTCCCCAGCCTGTATGTATGCTGTGGATTCCTTCTCCCAAGGTGCAGCACCCTGCATTTGTCTATGTTGAACCCCATCCTATTCTTGTCTGCCCACTTTTGTAGTCTGTCTAAATCTATTTGCAGCCTCTATCTCCCTTCAAGTGTGTCCACCTCACCCCACATCTTAGTGTCATCAGCAAACTTGGACAGCATACTTTCCAACACAGGCAGCTTGTCGGCCATACGTCTCTCTGCCTGCACTGCCACACACCTTAAATTTAACTCGATCTAATCCAGTTTAGTTCCTTAAAGTGGCATTTCAATTAACAAGAATGTTTCATTCACTAATTAAAAAAAATGCAGCTCCAAAACATGAGGATTCAGTTCATGACAGCTATATCCACAACTTCAAGTCCAAAAGCACGTTTAGCACAACAGCCTGGTGTAAACAGTAGGTGTAAACACAGCATAATTTTACTAACCTCTTATGAGTAATTTATATCTTCTGGGACATTAGAAAAATAATACATCCTCTATTTAAAGAGTTTCTGCACATTGATCTAAGCTTTAGAACAGTAAATGTTTCAAATAGAGGACTCAACCATCCACATAGCAAGTGCTCTACCTGTAATAAATTATATACCACAGAAGCACAGGGTCATCTTACATTTCAGAGTGAGTTTAGTTATACAATACATAGTAGGTAACAAGATCAAATCATTCATATGCCTAGCATCAGACAGGAAGAGGAAAAACTAATTTAAAATAAGGGGCACTTCTTATCCCACCTGCTCATGCCATTTCTTCCCAAACAACAGTATATTAAGCACCTCATTAAATCTTCCTGGATCTTGTAATCATAATGTACTATTCAGGTAGAAGATGCTGTCATACAGGACAAATATTATTAGCTTGCTTTACCATACTCACTGAATTCAAGACTGCACATGCAGTTATTCTATGTCCAATCTCTTTGTACAAGATCGGTCCACTTTGTCAATCCTGTAGACAGCCCTGCTGAAACTATACCAAAAATACCAGAGATCTAAGTTTAGAAGACAGAAGTAGCATAGAAGTGTTTCCAGACAGCATATCCCCTATAGATACTGTAATACAGAAAAAGCTTTGTTATCCAGTGCCTATGGCAAATGAGGGGTGCCGGATAACCAAATATGCCAGTTACCCAAGAGGCGCAAACAGGTGTCTTTGCCTGTTCAGGGTACTGCCCCTCCTGCCCCTCCCTGGCATCAGTGTGCTGGGGGACAGGGAGCAGAGCCCCCACGCAGGCTGTTTTGCCCCAGGCCATGGTCCGAAGTCAGCCAAAGTGGGACTTGGTGAAACCAGAAGTGGGACTTTCGGTGTCACGTTTGCCGTGTCGATCAGCATGCCGGTTAATAAAGTGCCGGATAACGTGGTTTTACTGTACATCGATTCCAGCCTTACGTCTTTTGATAGGAAAAAAAAAAAAAAGTCTGATAAGGAAAAATGGGGACTTAGTTCCTAAAGAAAATTATCTGCAGAATTTAAACTCCTGCTACATTTTGGACAAAGCTGCATGTTACCTTGCTGCACCTTACAAACACATCATATTGATCTGAACACTTAAATATAAATTGTTAAGCTCAAATAGAAATTGCTTTTAATTTAAAAACACAAGACCTGTCGCATTGGATCTGACTAATGCTTCTTCTGGTCCAGTAGTCTGTCTCCAACAGTAGCAAGTAGCAGATGCTTTTTAGAGGAAGAGTACAAGAAACAGGCCAGCATGTAGAATAACCTATCCTTTGTCACACCTTCCCAGTTAGCCGCAAGCTTAAGTTTAGGAATGTCCTGAGCCCACTGTTACATCCCTGACTATTTTGTATAATAGTCTCAATGGACCGATCTTCAGTAGGTTTGTATAATCCCTTTATGAACCCAGTTATACAACTGATCTTCATAGCTTCCTGTAGCAATACATTCCAAAAGCTAATTCTGCATTGTGTGTAACAGTACTTCCTTTTGCTTTAAACATTACCAGGTACCCAGTGAAGTTAAAACATAGTGAATAACATCTATTCATTTTTTGCATACAATTCATGATTTTATAGCACCTTATCATTTCCTCTCAGTCATCTCTCTTCTAAGCTATCAGCCCTCATTTCCCTATTTGTAACATGGTACACCAGAACAGGTTTAATTTAGATCTTTTACACCAGTGTTAATAAGGTTTTAGTCCAGCAAAATTGATGAGTTATTCTAGATGGAGGCCCAGTGACTCCATATAAATAAATGTGCACAGGCATCATTGCTAGTGGATTTGGAAGTGAAGCTATTCAAGTAATATAACTATTGGATATTTAACAGTAACCAAAAGGTATCTGGAAAATGGACAAGAAGCTAAAAAACAAATGTGGCAGGGATATATCTTACCAGTCCATCACAGTTGCTAATAGCAACAGAAGCTCCAGGGATATCAGCAATGTCTCCAATGTAAGCACAGTTGGTCCACAGAGGCTCTCTTTTCCACAACTTCTCTGTAGCAGTTCTACTCTGATTTGTGTTACCAGCATCAGTGCCATTTCCAGTTTCCACAGAGTCTTCATACCACTCCACAACTGCCTTGGGAGCCACCAGGTGGGTATTAGGTCTCAGCCGGAGATGGAATTCCCTTCCAAAAGCTGTGACATTAAAATATAGTTGTTTTGGGATTTGGGATACATCCCTGGTTGATCGTCTTTGATGGCTTGCAGAGAGAACACTGGATAGATAGCTTCCAGCTGCATCGGTGCTGACTGGAATCACTAGCCCATACGGTCTTGCTCTGTGTTTTGGTAAATCTGTTAAAAATCCCAAAGCAATCCAAAATGAGGATGAAGAGAACAACAGGCTTGAAGAATGGGTGACAGGTACACAACAGTAAGCCAGCCAAATAATAAGCAATGAAAATTTAGCAAGGCAGCCTGCTACTGACTTGGATTGTGCTGCATCCCAACCCTGATTACCATTACACAGTACACACCAGAAAGCCAAACAAAAATGTCTTGAGTAATGCTGTTTCAGGCCTGAATTCAGAAGCGATGCACATTAGAACCCACTTCTTGCACAATAGCTTAAGCTTCCTTTAGAGCTTAACCATACACACTCCATCAATGCATAAAGGAGTCACAGTAAAGGGGCAAGAACAAAAGAAAACGTGTGTTAAAGTAGAAAGAGGTGTATATTTTAAACAGTCAGCATGCAAGTTGCAGTAACATAGTCTATCTACCATCTGGTTAGAATGGACGTAAGCAAACCTAGTTAGAGCCCTCATGGTAGCAAGGATGTTTAAAACTAAGAGGAAAGAGCCACATTTGTAAAGTTGAGTGAACATATGAGACCATTATGAGCTAGGAGCCTTAAACCACACACACACACACACACACACACACACACACACACACACACACACACACACACACACACACACACACACACACACA